GGAATGTCTTTCTAAGACCACAGAAAACAACCAGAATTGAACTAAACAGAGAAAACGTAAAACTGTAAAAACTACAAATTAAAAGAAAAATAAATTTGTATTATCCCTTTACATAACTTGGCTTTATAGCTACTTCAAATCCAATCCAGCGTGATTTTACATGCCAGTTAAGTCCCCACTTTTTTTAATATGCAATAAAATGGCATGTTACTAACATCTAATTTATGCTTTTCTAATAGATTAAAATTTCCTGACTCACAGTACTAGCACTGCTACAGTCCTACACTCTACTGTGGCAGCTAAATTAAAAATGGCCCTAACTTTAAATAGTCTGTTTGTCTTTAACTGACTCAGATTTGTAACAAGTTACGTATTAATAATGGTCATTGTCCTAGTTATTTAGCATGCTTAGGAGTGAGAGAAAAACAGGTATCTTTAAAGTTCAAAGAAGGGAACTGCCCAAATCAAAAATATATTCTATTTATGAAAAGTTATATGTAAACACTGCAGCAAGGACATGCAATTCTTCTAGTCATGCTTTTCTAGTGTGCTATTGTAGCTGATGAAGCAAAAAACCAAAACAAAACCCAAACTCAAAACCTACCTGGGCCTTTCTGGAGAAGGGTTTGGACTACGAGGGGGAGGGGTGCGGGGAACTGCAGGTTTAGGAGCTATGGTAGCAGCAGGGACCAGGCCATGAGCTATATGTTTCTAAACAATTTAAAATAAAATTAGTTGACAATGAGTTTAAGGACCACAATGAAAAAAACACAGAACTGAACATGCACAAAAACTAACAATACAAAATAATATCAAAAGGAAGAACAATTACATGCAATTAATGTAAACAAAAGACTTAAAATGGTTCCAAGTTTAACTTTTTAACATGTATGAACAGCTGCTAATGAAGGTTAGAAATGTAATTTACAAAATAATTGAACCCTGCTTCAGAGCAACAATATTAATCCCTTTCTTGTAGAAAGAATCTGTCAGTCAGAAGTAATCCTCCGTCACAGCAGTATGAGATTGAAAAAGCTTATCGCTAAACAAGTCTTGCAGTCAAAGGTTCAACCTGAATAAAATAAAATACTAATACATTTTTATCAGCAAATGCAACATTTCTTTTTTTTAAAAGGATAACATTAAATACCAGCTCAGAAAAACTGGGACCAGAGTTCCCTACAAGAAGTACTTTGAATGGAATCACATAATGGTTGAGGGTGGAGATCGTCTAGTCCAAGTCCCTACTCAAAGCACAGTCAGCTAGAGAGGGTTGCTCGGAATCCTGTTCAGTCAAGTGTTGAGTATCTCCAAGGGCGGAGACTCCACAACCTCCCTAGGGAACCTGTTCCAGTGTTGGACCACCCTCACAGTATTTTTTTTTTTTTTATGATTATTAAGTTGAATTTTCTGTGTTTGAATTTGTGCCCTCTCTCTAGGTATCAGAAAACACTATGCCATAATAAAGCCCATCACCTTCAGAGATGTAATTTTTTTATGGAGTAGAACAGGCTAAGTTTCTGCTATTTCTGCTACAGAGGTTGTTTTTTTTTTAATTGTCCTCTCCAATGGGATAATGAACAGATGAACTAGGAAATATTTGTCTTTACACAAAGCCACATCAAATAACGAAACGGTGCATTGCAAAGACTGCCTTTTAACTTGGTCTATCTTGCAAATGCACTGCTCCCTAACTCTGGAAGTCTGTCTGGCATGCACCATTTTGTTTAGTAAAGGCTGTTGACTGTAGATGTCTTACTACAATTACCAGGGAATACAGCTGAGTAATCCCACAGTAAGACAACAGCAAAGGATCAATACTTTATTTTCATTCTAATAATAAAAAAAACTTCAATTACTTCAAGTACGTTAAAAACCCCACCATTGCTGACAAGCCTACAACGCTTGGCTGCTCTAAGCTTTCGCTATTAACTCTTATCAGTTCACTTTATAGCAGTGAACCGACGATCACCTCAGCAGGCGTTGGAAACGAGCGAGCTGCACTTCCACCCAGAGGCCTCCCGGGTTGGGCAGGCCGCCGGGAACGCCTCGGCCGGCTGTTTCTGGAGAAAGGCCCGGGACTGAGGGGAAGGAGAGCACCAACACCCCAGCGCCCGGGCTCCGTCCGGACACTTCCTTTTCTTTTTTCTTTGCTTAGGATTTTTTTTT